TTATCTTTTTTTAAGCTAAGCAAAAGAGGAGTCGAGGGTTTCTTTTTCATTCTCGTCGCCGACACTCATTTTCTTCTCCCTTCTCGTTGCTTCCGCGAATCAACATCTCAGCTTCTTCTCCGTTCTCGTCGCCGAAACTCGAGGAGTCGAGGGTTTCAATCAACATCGCAGCTTCTTTCTTCGATCTCGGAAGGTTTCAACATCGCAGCTTCTTTCTTCGATCTCGTTGACGAGACCTTTTCAACATCACAGCTTCTCAGGTTCGATTTGATTCGTCTCTTATCTTTTGCCTTTGGTAACGTTTCTGATGAACTAATGATTGTTTCAAAACCCATTCTGTTAAGAGGCTGAAGCATTACTGATTTGTTAATAAGGATGAAGCATTATTTGTTTGTGTATTTTCCACAAAACCCATTACTACTTTGGACTTTCCCATTGACGTATGCTTTTGGTAACTTTCCTGATGTGTTGTTTCATGGCATTTAGTTAGAACTTAGAAGTCTACCGTAGAACTTTACTGATTTGGTTCGTTGATTGTTTTCTCTTTTGCTGAAAATTTGATAAATGTTCATTTGATAAATTAGTGCTTCCACAAACGTTTACGCATCAAAATACTTATTGATGTTTGAAACTTGTTTGAGATCTTGTTAAGTTTACGTAAACAAGACTTATTGATGTTTGAGACTGTTTGAGTATTTTGATTGTTTACTTGGTTTACACACCAAGACATTGATGTTTGAGACTTGTTTTGCAGCTTATCTTTGACTGTTTTGTTTCAAGTGTTTTGGTTTACGCATCAAAATACTGATTGTGCTCTTGATTGGTTTGTTTCAACAGAATCGTCCAAGGCCAAGATTGTTAAGAAAGTCTTGAAGATGTTGTTCTTAAAAAGTTCAAGGCCAAGATAGCTCCCAAGAGTTATATACATTATGTATTTAAAGTTCTCAAACATTATTCTCACAGTTTTTATGATGTTGTTTCACACTTTCAAGTATGTTTTGTGACAATCAATAATGATTTCAAACTTCTTGCTATTACATAAACTATTTTATTTAATATGTACTCTTAGTATATATTAAATATGTATTAGTATATAAAATGACATATATTATAAAAGATTATAATAAAATATGTTTACATAAAAAATATATAAAGGGCTTAAATGGGTCAAAATGGGCTCAGCCCTTTCTTACATATTTTGATGGGTTTTAAAAGGGTTAGGTTTATTTAGGGCTGGGCTTGAAGTAAATAGGGCTGGGTTGGGCTGGGTAACCCATTACAACATCCCTAGATACAATTAATAGAATAAGACCTACAATTATAAAATTGGTTAGTATATCACATTCACTTGGTTATTCTAAAATTAAATATAATCAAACCTCCCTAATCCTCACGTTTATTAAAAAAATATATATGTATCAGTCAATTGGTTACACAACCACGTCGATATATACATATTTCCCATCATTGTCATGTATTGCAGATTTTATTTTATTTTATTTCGTCTCTCGTTAGATTGAAATTTTTGAACATTAATGGACCTAAAACGAGCCTTATGAGCCATCAGAAGGTATATTAACTAGGCCCATAAAGACCAACCTTCATTTTCAATGGACGCCGGAAGAAACTATCGCATTTGAGATGATAAAAACCAAGCTCACGACGGTTCCAATTCTCGTTCTACCTGACTTCTCGGCAACCTTTGAGTTACATTGTGATGCTTCTAAGTTGGGTATTGGCGCAGTTCTGAGTCAACAAGGGCGTCCAATCGCTTACTATAGCGAAAAACTAGCAGGAGTGCGTTCTCGGTATAGCACCTATGACGTAGAATTTTATGCAATCGTCCAAGCAATAAAACATTAGCGACACTATCTGGTTCATCGCGAATTTATAATGTTTACAGATCATGATGTCTTACGTCACCTCGATAATCAGGCCAAGTCTGGTAAAGACGAATCGTGTAGCTGATGCCTTGAACCGTCGACACAGTCTTCTCACATCATCTCACGTCACCGTTCCGGGGTTTGCTGCTTTATCTGAGTTATATTCACAAGACCACTTTTTAAACGGTTGTTCGAAGACGCTGCTGCAGGGGTTTCTGCAGATTATACTCTACACGATGGCTTCCTCTTCAAAGCGTTCGCCTTTGTGTTCCCAATAGCAGTTTTCGTTTAAAGATCATTCAGAAGCTCCATAATGACGGACATGTTAACCGAGACAGGACGATTCAGCTAGCAACTGCTTCCTATTTTTGGCCATCTATGCGGCGCGGCATAGAAAGATTCGTTGAACGGTGTCGGATTTGTCAACTAGCTAAGGGGAAAGCGTCCAATGCAGATTTATACCTTCCATTACCTATTCCCATACAGCCGTGGACAGACGTCAGTATGGATTTTATTTTAGGTCTTCTTCGTACATAAAAAAGGCAATGATTCTGTTTTTGTGGTTGTTGATAGATTTTCTAAGATGGCTCATTATATTCCTTGCAAAAAGACGACAGATGCAGTCAACGTCGCCGTGCTTTTCTTTTCGAAAATTTATAGACTGCATGGGTTACTTACCTCCATTGTTTCCGACCATGGTACAAGGTTTCTAATCCATTTTTGGAGATTGTTATGGAAACTTTTGGGTACTAGCTTGGATATGAGTACTGGTATCATCTCCAAACCGACAGTCAAACAGAGGTCACTAATCGTTCACTTGGGAATTTGTTTCGGTATTTAGTGGGTGATAACTTAAAATCGTGGGATACGAAACTTGGGCAAGATGAATTTGCTCATAACAGAGCTTCCAAAATGAGTTTGGGTTATTGTCCATTTCAGGTGGTTTATGGCACTCTTCCTCGTGGCCCCCTCGACCTCACTACATTACCGTACAAGACTCGGTTTCATGGGGAAGCTGTAGATTTTGTTTCCAAGATTTAGGATATTCATGAATTGGCAAACTCACACGTGGTAGCTTCTAAGTACAAGACGTTAGCTAACAAGAAATGACCTGAATTGATATTCTCTCCCGGTGATTATGTTTGGACTGTGTTAATTAAGGATCGCCTTCAAGCTGGAGAATACAACAAGCTTAAATCCCGTAAGATTGGTCCGTCGAAATTCTCGAGAGAATCAATCCAAATGCATATAGAGTTCGACTTCCTGCTCATCTTCGTACGTCGGATGTCTTTAATGTCAAGCATTTATTTCCTTATTATGGAGACAATGACAAACCGGATTCGTGGTCGAAACCTTCTCACCCGGAGGGACCTGATGCATCACAACTTGTGATCTCCAACGATCACAATGATACAAACATGTAGGGATGTTTCCTTTTTTTTCATAATGGCTTTCTTTCCTTTATTTAGATAAGTTAGTTTCTTATTAGTAAAAGGATTCCCAAATCCTTTAGGTTTATGACTTTATAGTTCTTATATATAGAGACGTTAGCGATGGTTTGAAAGACACAATTCAATTAATAAAATTTATTCGGTTTTTTAAGAGCTTCTAAACGAGCACTGCGAAGAGTATTCACGACAGTAAGAGGTTTACCGAGCACTACGAAGAGTATTTGCGCCAATATCTTTGTTTTTGAAGTTACCTTCGTCAACAAGTTACAAAACTCTCGGTCTTTGACTTAGATAGCTTCCGCTCTCTATCACTATCTTAGAACATGAATATCATCACCATGAACTGGCCAAGAAGATCAGAGGTAAAGCACCAAAAATGATTATCATGCAATACGGACCAGGCATGGGAGAGAATCATAAGACTATAGGAAAGCAGAACCTCGATAGAGAGTAATGCAGATCTAGTTATTCATCATCATTGTGCGCTAATGAGAGATTTGTTTTAAGTATTCGAACAAGGAAACCCAAGTAGACAAAGAAATTCACAGGGAGAGGGGATTAGATCTTACAGAGAATTCATCACCCATTGCTGCGCTTTGAAGCTTCGAGAGATCAACACCAGTCGTCAGAGACAGTTGTAAAGACTTAAATTTTGTCTAAGAAGATTCAGCGATTAAATAAATAGAGAGACCACCTCTCTATTCCGGCGAGTTGAGGCGGGAGAAGGAAGAGAGAGTGAGAGGATGAGGCAAAACAGTTTCTTGAGAGATACACAAATGGAAAGGGGAAGGGTTTATAAAATGAGTTATTCTTGGGTTCACCCCCTAGGGTGAACCTCTAGGTTCACCATCCAATATGATTGCATTATTTCATATTTGATATCTTTTAAAAAGGAAACAAAATCTTGTTAAGTTATATTATGTTTAAAAAATAATAATAATAATAATAATAGTTAATAAAAATGATTGTTTTAAAATAAAAAAAAACTATTTTAACACTAAACCCTAAAATCAAATCCTAAACCCTTAGGTAAATCATAAAGCTTTGGATAAATTTTATAAAAAAATTCTTTTAAAAAATTATTTAACACTAAAACATTAAACCCTAAACTCTTCTTAAACCCTAAACCCTTGGGTAAAGCATAAACACTAAACCCTAAAATCTAATCCTAAACCCTAAACCCGTGGGTAAATCATAAAGGAAGAATTGCATAAATACACATTTTGGGTACGTACACTAATTCATATTTACTTTAAGAGGGGAAACATTTTCATAAATACCTAAATCATTAATATGTAAAAGACAAAAATAACCCTCTCACAAAAATAACCCTCTCAGTCTCACAATATGTATCAAACCGCTCTTGGCTTTGGAATCGATTGCTGCAACATCTCCGTCTTCTCCTTTGCCACAACGTCGCCGGAACCAGTCCTCACCGTTGCGAAGCTGACGTCGCTTCAAGCTTCTCCACATCACTGGCTCGATTGGTGACCAAACCACAGCACGAAAGCTCCAAATCAAGCTTCTCCGGCGAGTCCCTTCTTCACCACCGGCGTACCCGTTTTATTTTTCTTCTTCTTCCGTGTCTGCGATTCTCTGATCCGATCCGATGAAGGAGATTACTGATTCCGTCGATCCTAGGATCATGTTCTAGCATCAATCCCTTATGCAGGATTATCACGAGTTGCGTAAGGTAATTAGGGTTTTTAATTGTGATTTTCTGGGTTCTTTCTCGATTTCCTATAGATCTGGTGATTTGGGATTGTTGGGTTGATTCTGATGAAGAAGGTATAAGATAAAGCTTTGAATTTTTTTTTCTTGTTTTATATTCTCAGGAAAGAGAGTTTAAGATGAGGAAGTTAGAGATGATAAAACAAAGACGATCAACCCTTGACCCAAAAGGTAGGTATATTGAATCTCCCATCTTTTGAATTTACATGATTCAAAGCACATTCCAATTACTTGTTTTAGTGCTTACGTTGATTTAGCTTACTGAGTGTGTTTTGATCAAAACGTTATAGGTTCTTGAGACGTAGATACAAACAATTTAAGCAAGACCAAACTCTTGATACATCTACTCCAGGGGTGTTGAGATTGTCAGAATCTGGAGACTTAAAGGTGCCAAGTAAAAGGAAGAAGAACTCTGAGAAGGAAGCATTGGCATTGGATAAAAAGAATCCGAAAAGGAGCAGAGGAAATGAGGTTATGACCAATGTTTTTAAACCCGATCCGGACACTGAACCGGACGACTTACCGGGTCATTGGATCATTGGGTTGACCGCGGGTGAACCACAGATTAATAAATGAAATTTTATTATATAAGAATATTAGTGGTATTCCGGCGCTACGCGCCAGGTTCTTATGTTTTATTTTTTAATGAGTTCAAAATTATTTATAACCATGAAATTACCAATATCTATAGATAAATTCTTACATCATGTGTGGGTTCTTTTAACTGATTTGAATGTTGTTGTTGGGAGATGTTACATGTTGATGGTCAATATGAATTTCTAGCAAATATAGATTGAGTTATGGTGGTTTGTTCTTTTAGTGGTTAGTGATAAATATTATCTTCATTTTCCTTAATGTAGGAGCAAATTGCATGTGATTTTTGAAGTTTAAATTGTCGGCGATTTATGGTGGCTGATAAATTAGTGATAGGACACAAAAACATATTTATTTATTTGGGCTTGAATTATTGTCCGTTTGAAGTTGAATGTGCGTTTCAGATGAATGTAATATACGCCGTAGTTATTTTGTTGATTACTATATATTTTCCCAGATCTTGATTTCCATGTAACTATTTTTTTGTTGTGAATAATTTCTTTGTCTATTAACGTGTTCTTTTTTTGTTACATTTGTTGTTGTATTTGGTGTAATGTTATATGAGATTCGTTTAGGATAAGATAGTTTCTCTTTGGACGTTATGCATCTATCTTATTAAAGAGAAGTAAAAATAAAAAAATACCACTAAAACTTACAAATTTTTTACAAATCAATATCACTGAAATATTAAATAATCATAAATTTAAATAATCTTGTATTTTATAAATATTACATAATTCCTTAAAATAATTATAACTAAAAAAGAGTTAGGCAACAATAAAAGAAAACCTACACTATATTTATTTAATAGGTTTCAACACAATCATAATAAACAGAGTATTCTAAATTTAAAATAAAAATTTGTTGCTAAAATCCTACCTTTTATTATTTTGTATATTTTCATATAAATAGTATTCTAATGTAAATTCAATATTAGAAATGTGGAATATTATAAAGTTTATAGAAACATATTTTAAATAGTATATAAAATAATTTATTATACCTTATAATATAATTTTGATCCATAAAAAATAAAATAAAACATATTTGTTCCTATATACAGAACATATTCTAAAAATATAAGTGATACAATTAACGAATTATAAGACAAGTGATAATAACTAATATAAATTATGATTTTTTTTTAAAAATGTCATATTAAATGATTTTTTTTTTAAATCACCACTTACACAGAAGGAATATTTATTTATAAAAAAATGTAAAAATGAAAACCCACACACGATAAAATATAAAATATAGATTATCACATACACAAAATAAATATTCATTTACAGAAAAAAACCGTGCATGATAAAATCATTTCATAAAATAAATATTAATTTGTAATTAAAAACACACACATGGTGCGCAGATCAAACTCTAGTTTCAATTAAATGACATTAATGTATAATTTCTTAACAAATTTATTAATTAGGTTTTCTAATTTAACAATGCTGTATTTTCTAATTTATGATGTACTGTACTTTGTGTATTTTTCAATCTTTTCACGTATGTAAATCTTAAAAGATTATTAATAACATTTTTAGTTATTTAAAAAGACTTACATGTGTAAATATCAATATATTAACTTAATCAAATTTATTAATTATATTTTATTTTTAAGAATGTAATATATTTTCTAGTTTATAATGTAACTTTGTGTACTTGTCAATCTCTTCACATATGTAAATCTTAAAAGATTATTAATAGGGTTTTAGTTATTTAATATATATATACGTAAGTAGAAAAATTATTAAAGTTAGATATTTAAATAAGTTGATATATCTTTAATAATAAAGTTGAGTTTTTTTTCCATGAGGGGCAAACAGTGACACTTGGCATACTACCATTTGTAGAAAAATTATTAAAGTTAGATATTTAAATAAGTTGATATATATGAAATAAAATATTATCATAATTGGGCCTAATTTAAAAATCAATAAAATAAAAGTTTTTATAGTTGGGCCTAAAAAATATTCAACAAATGGTAGTATGCCAAGTGTCACTGTTTGCCCCTCATGGAAAAAAAACTCAACTTTATTATTAAAGATATTAGCTATGAAAATAAAAATATAGAAACTAAAGTTAAATATTTTCTAAATATTTTTAAAACATAAAATTTATAAATATACAAAATATCAAAACTAGTTTAGACTATTTAATTTTTTTTTATAACATGTTAAGAGTAATGACATCTATAAAAAGCAAGATATAAAATTCATAAATATTTAAATGTCTAATGAGAATAATAAATTAAACCAAAAGTAAAACATCATTGTAATAAATTATCAATAACAAAAATAAACTAACACCAAATCACATCAACTAATTTTAGTTCTCGCTACAACCATTCAGTTCATTTTTTTTTCAGGTGGCACAATGAAATCTTCATCAAAATTTCAAAATCACAGATAAAATAGTGTAGTAGATATTATGTATGATAAAAAGTCATAAATTTAATTTAAATTTAAAGAAGAAGACGACAGTGCCAATAACTAAAACTTGAAAACCTAACTTTTAAATTAAAAATTTAGAATAAAAACAGAATAAAAACATAATTTAAAACTAAAAAAAAAGAAGTAAAAGTTTATTTATTGGTTCAACCAGTGGTTCAACCGGCATTGAGTTTTGGGTTTTAGTAAATTTTTGCGGGTTTTTGCGGGTTTTTAAATTTTGGGTTTTTAGCAAAACTCAAACCGGATTTATTTTGGGTCACCGGATTTACTGATTCAATCACGGATCCGGGTCGGGTTTTAAAACACTGGTTATGACTAACTCCATTCCACTTCCTGATCTTAATTTGTTGTTGCAGAAACTAGAAGCTCGGCAGCTTTTGCGGCCCTTTGCCTTCTCACTTTCACTTCTCACTCAAAAGCTTGGTTTCAGCGACACGGTTCGATTTTAGCTTCCCTTCAATATACAAATATGCCATCAAAATCCTCACTCTAATGTCCTAAACTCAGTTTTTTTTTCTCTGAAGTTTGGAGCTTTTCTTGCTGGAGCACTTTTAGCGGAAACTAATAGGCCATCTAGAGGTTTTCTTCTTGGTTTGTTCTTTGTTACCACAGGAACTACCATTGACATGGAGGTAAAGTCTTATATTTGCATAAAAATTCAACTGTTTGAAACATTCCATTAGTGTTCATGCTCATGTGGCTAATATCTCCTTTTTTTCTTGCAGGTTATGTTCAGAATATGGCCTAATGTTCTCACACTCTTGGCTGGTCTGATTGTGATCAAAACATCGATTATAACCGCACTCGGTCCCAGAGTTGGACTCGGTTTCCTTCTCTCTCAGGGAGGAGAATTCGCATTCGTTGTCTTCTCTCTAGCCAACAGGTCCTTCTTCTTTCTAACTGTCATTATCACTACTCAAAGATCTCCAAAAACTGATTATTACAATCATATCTACAGGCTAGGAGGTGCTTCCACTTGAGTTGAATAAGCTTCTCATAATCGTAGTTGTTTTGTCAATGGCGTTAACACCTACGCTTAACCAACATGGAAGAAAGGCAGCTGACTTTATTGATGAGAAGCTTGGTAACGAAGAGGTAAACTTCATAAACTTTACAAATACTTTGCTTAGTTGTAAAAAAAAAAGCTGATATGGACATATGTTCTGCAGAATGTAGATGAAGAATTGAAATTCAACGTTAAAGAATCAGTTGTCCTCATTGGATTTGGACAAATGGGTCAGGTAAAAAGTTCATCATTTTTCCATTTCTTTACTGGAAAATAAGTTACAAGTTTTGTTAAGTGGTTTCATATTGAGTTTGCAGGTGCTGGCGAACTTCTTGTCAACGCCATTGGTCTCAGACTCTCAGGAGTAGATAGTGATCTTGTGGGATGGCCTTACATTGGTTTTGATCTAAATCCTGCTGTAGTGAAGGTCCGAAACACAGCTTAACAGAGATTTTGTTAGAAACTGCTTAGGTCTCTTCTTTTGAATATGTTGTGTTTTGTGGCATGAAACAAGGTTTCCCTATATTGTATGGAGATGGATCTAGGCCATCTGTTTTTCAATCTGCAGGTGTTTCATCTCCTAAAGCAATCATGATAATGTATAAAGGCAAAAAGAGAACCACTGAAGCTGTGAAGAGACTTCGTGCTTGCTTTCCTTTTTGTTTTGTTTGTTCGGGTGTCAAGTGAATCCTTTCATAGTACCCCATTTCTGTACTAAATCAGGTTGATCTTGTTTTGCAGATGTACACAGTTAAAACTTAAGTTGACTGATCCTTTTGCTTGCAAGAAAGCTAAGTGGTAGCTATAAATTATAATATGGCTATGTATGTTGCAGTGGACGCGATCAATGGTTGCTGAACAAAGAAGACACTGAAAGACTCCGTTGAGCATTGTCAAAATGTGAAGTCCGTGAGTTTGTGAATAATGGACATTTCCTCTTCTTGGTAAGGTGCTCACATCTTCTGCATGTTTGAATCAAATATTGTATTTAGTTTACTAATCTACAGCACCATTGATCTACATATCTTAGGAGGATGGGGTAGATCTGGCGACTACTCTTAAGATTGCATATTATTATCGACGTGGGAAGAAACTTGATTACGTTTATGATTACACTCTGCCTACTCCCTTTGAGCTCAAAGAGTTTGAACAATCACAAAGGTAAGCGAGTTCAGAGCTTTGACTAGAACACAACATCCTGCTTCTGTTACTGTAAGAAAAGACTGAAGTATTTTTAATTTTCAGTGTCTCAGATTGCTAGCCGCTGTTGTTTCTCCAGTCTTTCTCTCAACTCTAGACAACGGTACAGTAGAAAGAACACTTGGAGAAATACCTTCAACGGGACCGGTTCTTTATGTGATGTTGTCTCCTACAGTACTCTGATTGAAACATTATGCAGGGCGTCAAAGACTAGGAAGGCACAACCTCGGATTGGAGATTAACCGTTATGAGGAAAGAAGGCTTTGCTAACTACCCCACAGCAAGATTTACAAAACTATTTAAAAAATCAAATGCATCACGAATATATATGTAATTTATAAATCATTTATAAATGATTCACAATGGTTTACAAATCATTTAAAAAAGTTTATAAATCATTTATAAGATCTAGTAAATTGATTATAAAGGTTTATATACCATTTTTTAGAATTTATAAACCATTATAAGATTTTATAAATCATTTCAAGGGTTAACTAAATCATTTTAGGGTTAATAAAATCATTTATATGGATTAAAAATCATATTAAGACATTACTCATAACTTCGTTTTATTTATAAGAGTTTATAAGTTAATTTATAAGAGTTCAAAAAAATATAAGGGTTTATAAATCAATTTATAAGAGTTTATAAATCATTTTGTAAGAGTTTATATAATCTCAAACTCATAAAATTCAAATTCATTTTATAAACATTATTGAATAACTTATCAATCTTTATAAATAAATTTATAAGCTCTTATAAATAAGTCTATACTTCTTATAAATAATTTTGTAAACTTTTATAAATCAGTTATATGAGCCAAGATCGGAAACACCAATAGCAAGATACCATACTCGAATAAGATAATACATCCTGCTTAACTTCTAGATTTTCCATCTCCATCTGAACTCGTTCAGTTTCCCGTGGGATAATACATTTATAAATAATATATAATGGTTTATAAAATATTCACAAGAGTTATTATGTTATATATAAAAACTTATATATCATCCACAAAGGTTTATAAGGGTCCATGAACTGAAATCTTATAACTAATTAATAAAAGATTATATTTTGATTTACAAGAGTGTTTAAACTGATTCATAAGGTTTTATAAATTGATTTATAATACTTTATAAAAATTCTACTGGAGTCTATAAGTTAATTAATGGTGATTATATTTATGCGAACTCCTAATTGGCTTCAGACCTCCTGATTTGTATTTGAACTTCCAAGTTTTATAAAATGGCCTCTGTTGGTGCGTAATTGTTACTCTGCTCATTCTAGGATCACAGGAAAGCTGCATCATACCAGGAAACACCTGAAACTGCTTGATACTTTCTGCCTCTTCCTTTGCATTTATAAACGGATATAACATCACACTGCTCACTTCAGATGAAACCAAATTGGTAAAAGAGCTTGGCTCTGCAGCTTTTGGGATATATATCTCCTTGGTTTCTTCCCTACTTGTTGAATTCAGCTTCTGCACAGCTCCTGTCCCATGAACAGATTCCTTACATGAAATCAGTTCATCCGTCAGTTTCCCTTTCACCAGACAACAGCTTGAAACGTTCACCAGACAACAGCTTGAAACGTTCACCAGAAACGAATCAGCCTTCTCCACACCCTCAAGGACTGCAATTTCACCTCTCAGAATAGTCTTTTGGTCAATCTCATGAAATGAGTCTCTCTGTAGCACTACTTCTGGTTCTTGAACAGCATGAGCAAATGAATCTTGCTTGAGCCTTAAGTCTGGTGAAAAACTACAATGGAAAAAACAATCACCAGAAACTTCTTGCACAGTTGGCGATGCTAACTTCTTCACCATTTTTGTCTCACAACTAGTTGCATTGATCAAAGCTGATTCAACTTTCCCATTCACTTCTACTGTAGAGCAGCTCTCAACAATACCAAATCGATCAAGCAGTTGTTGCTTAAACTCATCCCAATCCTTGAATCTCTCTGTCTGCGCATCACTTTGAAGAACCACTTCAATGCATCACCTCCCAAGTACAGGTATACAAGTGTCAATCTATCGTTGTCCCCATAACCACATGAATAACCTCTCCATTTTTGGAATCCAAGCTAACGAATTTAAGCCATCAAACTTAGGCACCGTAAAACAATCATCATCTTCCACATTCATTCTCTGATAACCAAACGATCCATTATTTCTCTGATTTATTTCCAGTACATAATCTTGTACCTGAGAGTGAGATTTTGATGATTCAGGTGCTCGAGACGGTTGTGTGTCGCCACGAGAAGCTTGCATCGGCTCATTCTTCAACAACGTCATAACATTAATTTGTTATGTATAAGTGACTACAATCTCATCATATGTGACTTTACTTGCTTCTAATGAACTTCCTTCGAGTGTTAACATCATTCATTATCAACCATAGAGAGAGTCATTTCCCAATATATAGATCATCGACCATAGAGTCATAAACCATGACTGTGTTAACAGTTGCTCAGTAAACAATGTCTATTTGAATTGCAAGTCCATTGGATCATTTTTCTTCTGTTAGAGAAAAACTCTTCGGTTCAAAAAAATTAATCATGATGACATTCAATGAAAACAAATATGGACTACTTTTGTTATGAAATTCCTTTTTAGTTTATGATTTAGTGTGCAGATCTGATCTGGTCATCGCTTGTGCAGATCTGATCACTGACCATAGTCTCAGCTCGTAACACATTATCATCGCTTGTAAGTGACCTCTACATCGTCCAAAGCTATATATAAAGAGAAATAATGTACTATACCACTACTATTATTAATATATTACTAGGTGTTTTCCTACACCATGTATAGTGATAAACTTTTTAAAAGTTAAATTATAGTTAAAATTATATTAATTGATATTATATAGTTTATTATTTTGACTAATATTAATATAAATTTGATTTAACTAAGCATAAAATTAAGAACAAAATATTTTTTTATTTTAAATTATATTTAATAATATATATGTAATATATTTAAAATTTGAATATTAGAATTTCTTATCTATTTACAATTGGCCATTGTTAACGCGGTAATCAGTAAGATTAAGAAAATATATATGTCATTTACCAATATATATAGATCATCGACCATAGAGTCATAAACCATGACTGTGTTAACAGTTGCTCAGTAAACAATATCTATTTGAATTGCAAGTCCATTCGATAAAAAAAAAAAAAGAGTCCACTCGATCATTTTTCTTCTGTTAGAGAAAAACTCTTCGGTTCAAAAAAAATAATCATGATGACATTGCAATGAAAACAAATATGGACTAATTTTTTCATAATTCTTTTTTAGTATTATGATTTAGTGTGCAAATATGATCTGGTCATCGCTTGTGCAGATCTGATCTGGTCATCGCTTGTGCAGATCTGATCACTGACCGTAGTCTCAGCTCGTAACACATTATCATCGCTTGTGAGTGACCTCTACATCGTCCAAAGCTATATATAAAGAGCAATAATGTACAAAACCTAAGCAATGTGGGAAGATCTTCGCTCGAATACGCTGGGCTGGGCTGGGCCGGGCCTTTCAACTAACTCAAAATTGTGCTGTTACATTGTAAAAAGGAAATGAAATATTTGAAACGTGATATTATATTAAGTGTTTCGGAAAGTGATAATACTCATTCCTAGATACTATGGGTATTTTGATCATTTGGTTGTAATCTTAAGAAAACATGAACGATGACGACTATTTCTATGGTTAAATAACTGGCATTTGTAGTTTTAATGCTTCACTAGTCTTCTTTTAAAAGATTTTGAATGTACCAAAACATCAGAATTTAAAGTATATATTCTACCATAGCTTTCACACAATTACTAAACATCAAACTGAAATAGCTTCTTCATCTTCTTCCATCAGTTATCATCTGAGAAGGTTTGCTTCTCACCGTAGGATAATTCAGAAATTTTATGTTTAACGACCCGAGGGACTTCACGTGGAAGGTTGAATTTGTTCCTGCAATTTTGAAAAGACCCTTCTTTTTTTTGTTATCTCTCCATATATACCCCCCCCCCCCCACCCAAATAATAATAAAGAATCTCAATAGGCAAATAGTAAAAATCAATCCCTTATCAGAGCTCTTCTGCATGGTTGTACCTAAATCAACAAGACAATTAACATCATCAGTATGTCTTGTGTAACTACATTTAAAGCTATATAAGTATCAAACAAATTAGAGTTACAAATAAATCAATTTACCTGGGTCGGATAGGATATGGAGCCATCTCAGCCACATCAGCAATAATATTCAGACCACTATTCTCGTACAGCAGCGCCTTCTTTGATCTGTCAGCACTCTCAAACTCAATAAAGCCACAGCCCAAACTCTTCCCCTTGCCGTTTATAGCAACTCGAACCCTAAACTCTTCACCTTTTGTAACATTTTCACCGTCCTTTGAATCCTTTCTAAATCTGAAGAAACTGGTGCTGTAAAAGGGAAGGACAAGATACCAGTCATGAGAAACTTGCTCCAAGGTCTATAGAATAAAACTGAGGAAAGTTGGTGACTCACATATGATGTAGTCTCTGTGCTCGATGGACATTGGAAAAAAAGATACTCTTTTTTCTTTGGTCTACTTCTTCATAAACAGTGGAAGTTTCATCAAACCCTTCTTCTTCTTTGTCTATCATCAGGCGGGTTTCACTTTCAAGACATTTTTCGAACCAAACGTTGTAATCGATGCAATATGGCGTAATGCTTGGACCATTCCTAGCCTGAGCAAGCGAAATTTCCTGCTGGTGCAACTTGTCAGTAGCTTTCTGGGACAGCCTACAGCATAAAAAGACAATCAGCCAATGGTACTTTCAGATTGCTACTTGAATAATTTTCATCAATGCTCTCACATTCTTTGCTTTTTCAGCAGTAGCAAACTGAACAAAACCATGGCCCATTCACTTGTCACTGGAATCCACAAGAAGCTGAACATGAACCACTCGTGCAACATCTGTGAAGAAATAGATGCTGTCAAAATGGAGAGTACATATATTAGTCATGAAAAAACTTGAGGAAATTAAAAACCTGTTACTTACATATCTTTTATTTCAGCTACGCAAGAGAGATTAGTGACAGAGAGCGTCTTTTCACCCTTTGTCAGAAAGCAGCGGTTCATGCAATATTGAAAATGTAATCAATATTAAATTTCACCTCACCCAAAGTGCTCTTGATAGTTAACTCTTTTACCAGAGTTGGTCTACAAGGAAGGGTTGGGGACGGCCTGTAAGTGACGTAGCCAGAAAAACCCTATGATCAAGCAAATATTCACCATGTTTTTTCAACGCCTACAATATAAATTACAAAGTCATTAGTTTCCAAATTATTAAAATTTAATCATTACTTTCCAAAAATACTCTCACCATGTTTGTTGTCCAAGGATCCTCAAACTCAACAAAGGCATAGCCCCACACGCTTACCCTTGGAGTTTACAAAAAGTTGAGCCCTAACAACACTTCCCACACTTCCGAAGAAATCGATACTGTAAAAATGGAAGATAAAATGTCAGATATGAAAAAAATTGATACAAAAAGAGGAGTGGAAATTTAAAGGTGGCACCTACATATGAGACACTTTAGTTTTTGGGGGAGAGAGATTGGTAACAATGAGTTTATTCTCACTTTTTGTCTCTTCCACCGCGAGCCCCTCACTGTAAAAAAACTGTTATCAGTCCATGTAAATAGTTGTAAACACTCTAAATGGGGAAAATAGTTAAATTCCTTACCAAACCTTGTAATCTAAGCAATACCTTATTAACAATAATAGCGTTAGTCTTGGCATCAAAACAATTGCAAAATTAGTTATTACAAAAAAAAAAAAAAAAAATTACTTTCCAGCGCCTTTAGGAAGAGTAGCTCGCGTGGCAATAGATATCATCTTCCCGTGCAATTTCTACACCATTCAATTCCCGCGCCTACAATAATAACAAAAGATTTTGTCAGCAATTAGTTAAATAAACTTTTTATCATTAAAATAAAGAGCTCTCACGTTCTCTGCTTCCGCAGCAGAAGCAAAAAAAACAATAGCGCATCCGCGCCTTTTCTACTTGTGGTTTATTATAAATTGAACACGTACAACTTGTCCAACATTTTTGAAGAACCTGATTACCTGACGCTGTAAAAATGGAGAATAACATATCAGCAGGTCATGAAAAAACGTTTTTTTTTTTTTTTTTTGAAAAAAGGTCATGAAAAAACGTGCTCAATAGGAAAATAAAGATGATACTTACATAGCTCTTGGTTCAGTTTGGGCATTGAGACCGGTAATGAAGAGCGTCTTCTTACTCTCAGTCGTTCCTCCTCTCAGACGCAGAACCAAGTGAAGCGTCGATTCCTTCTGGATGTTGTAGTCGGCGAGTGTCCTCCCGTCTTCCAACTGCTACCCGGCGAAGATCAGACGCTCCAGGTCCGGTGGGCTCCCTTCCTTGTCCTGAATCTTGGCCTTGACATTGTCGATTGTGTCAGACAATTCAACCTCTAGGGTTATCGTCTTCCCCGTTAGAGTTTTGACAAAGATCTGCAACCCATGGACCACACATTCGCATAAAACAACCTGGACCTCTTCCATCATCACCTATAGCATTCAGTTTCGATGGATAAACAATGCATTGAAGATGAAGGGAACTGTCACCAATCTTCGCATATTCATCAGCTTTAAGACTTTTACCAAATATAGTATGCTTGAGAAGTAGAAGAGATGGCGAACTGTGGACATGGTGATTCCAAGTACCGATAGTTGCAAGGAAAGCTTTCCTACACACTTGTAAATACTTGCTAACCAGCGATGAAAGCATCCTCAGCAATTCTACGAGGTCACCAGTTTTCGTCAAGCAGGAAGAGCGTATGCCTTTGATAAGTCTAAGAGAGCTTACGTTAAGAAGAAGAAAGGAGATGGAAGTATGGGAGAGTCTCGGATTGAAGTGGAGGGTTTGACAAATGACTAGACGAGAGTTGGAACAGAAGGTTTGAAGAATTAAAAGAAAGCAGAGACTCTTTTGCTAGTAGAGGGTTTGCAGTTAGAAGTGTTGAGTTTCAATAAGCGCATTCTTTGCATCAAGCCTGTGGTAAGTTCCTTCTTGTTAAGCGAACTTAGTTTCTTGATGCTCTTCTCCTATAAAAAATTTTTGATTTCTGAATTGACCACCGAGCTCAGGCTAACTCAGCTAGTTATACTTGCCCCCAAACTGTCACTTCTCTTACATTCTCCTTTGTGCAGGTTTGGCAATACTGCATATTTGCACATTTCATTCAGATGCTCAAAGCTCTAAGTATGCGAAGACTAAACATTTTGTCTAAAGAATCAATTTTAGCGTAGACTTTCTATTCATTTTACAACGCATATATTAACATGAATATGGAATTTCAGTGCCAGTTGCAACGTTTATCATGGCATCGAACATGTTGCTGGTCAGTGTTGGAGTTGTGATATCTTCATATGGAGAAATCGATTTCAATATAGTTGGCACGATCTATCAGGTCAGACGCATCTTTGCTGAAGCACTTAGACTGGTGCTAACTCAAGTTCTTCTCCAGAAGAAGGGGGTTTTAAACCCTATTAACACCTTATACTACATAGCTCCTTGCAGGTACTCACTCGAGAATACGATCTTAATCACCTAAGCGTTGGTTCTTGTTCATCTAATAACATTGAACCCTATTAACAGTTTTGTTTTTCTGGCCTTTCCAGCTGTGTCATGACATTTCTACAGTTGGACAACAAAAACATCCTAATGAGAACGTAAGAGAGAGTATTCTATAACATGATCTGAACTTTATACAAAAAGAAGTTATAGGTTACTACAAAGAAAACAAGTGATGAGATACACAAACCCTCTCCAATTCAATCAGAACCTACATTCAAACGACCATGTGAAAGTAAAAACATAAACAACCCCAAGCTTCGGTAACTATCAAAGCACACAATGCCCCTCAAGCCCAAACCCTCATTCTCTCTCTCATTCATGAAGTGGATTGTAAACAAATGAAAAAAAAGTAAAGAAGATAAATTATCGAACCTCAAGAAGCAGTTTCCTCATTCCACGTGAATAAATATACAGACATAGATTTCTATCTTCGCATGTACTCTGGATTCCTCAAGTACAGTAGCTTCCTCGATTGCGCTGGAGGAGCTAATCCTGGGATGTCCCTAATGTCCTTGTTATTCGGGTGTACGATCTGAAGAGAGTTTATACAACAATAGTTACTACTTTCCAGTGAGCAATCACAACTCTCATTGGAATGAGCAAAGCAAGTACCTTCACCACGATAATGGCTATCACACCGCATACAATGAGAAACAGAAACATCATTATGCATTTATCCGTAGCCACCTGCAATAAAAGTAAACATAGAGACTCAGGGTTTTGCAGTCAAGCAAAATGGGGAAATCTATGTCCATATGAGGTTACAGACCTGTCTCCCTATCTCTTTCACAAGCTGGGAGGCCTTCTTGATAGAGAACTGAATCGTGTCTAAGTGGTTAACAACGCGTCCCATTTGATCCGTCTGCATTATTTTTCAGATTACTTAAGACTCAACTCATACGATTCACAGGAAAGCGATGGAAGATGCTTTGCTTTTACCTGTCCCTTTAAATTAGCTGCAGTTTGAGTTCCAACTTCCATTGTTTGTTCTACAACCTGATTAGAACAAGGATGTTACCATAGACATAGTAACGACAGTACGTAGAACACATTTCTTCATTTTGTAATTTACCTGTTTTGAGCGTTCAATGGCCTGATCAGTCTCATCCATTCTTTTCATTCCAGTATCAACAAGCTCCTGGTTTGACATAGCTATACATAAAACGACATAAGCTCCACAATTCCAAAATATTCAACTTATTGTTAAACTCAATTAGGAGAGTTATTTAAGCGGGACCTTTGTCTATACACTTGAGCAACACTTAGGATATCAGGCCAACCGGTAAAATTTCTAGTATAATATGAGCATAAATAAATAGTCGACCATATTCAATTCTGCAAGGTGTTTTAAGCTCCAGACATGTCAATCTCTTGATGTGTTGTGCCAATTCGTTTCTTGGTAGCAGAGAAAAACATGCATAGAGGACTCACTCACCTGAAGCCACTTGAACATTTTCGTCAGCTGTAGGTTCGGCGCTGGGACCAGCTCCCATGTCAAAAAGTTCAATCTTCTTGTTTCCAAGGGTACTCATGTACCTGAAGTACACAGACAAAGTTAACATGAAAAAACAGATGAAACTAACTGAAATCCTTAAGACAGACATGTGCTGAACGGATGTTTTTAACTAAACCAAAAAAAAAAAAGACGGGGTACAAAGTTCAGGTAATCCATCTTCTAAAAGTTGAATGAAAGAAGCACTTACGTTTTCCTTAGTGCAACATAAGAATTGAGTTCCTTAATCTGCAACATTAAAACACGAGGGAAAAGTTAGAAAAACCGACATGACACTCAGTATCTGCATTTAAATATCAATTTTTTTTGGGTTACAATGCCACTAAAAATTAAGCAAACCGGAATGCGATTGATGCTGCAAAGTGGAACTTTACCAAGGTGGTAAGTAAGTTAATTATTCATACACATACTTCAGATACATTTTCATTGCAGTCCTAATCAAAGAAAATGCCTCGGTGAAGTTCCAAGAAAAAAAAACCACACTGGTTTTTGGCAAGTATATAACTAACTCACCATAGATTGTTTCTCATCATTCAATTGCTTATTAACTTCAGGAGGAATTGTAGCTTCCTCATCTTTGAGTTCACGGTCAAAGTCCTTTACCAACCTGAGGAAACAACTTATAGATTATTAACATATTTATTTGGTCACATGAGTAGTGTTTCCTTTGCTTGCTTGTAATTATAAAGCAACAAACTCAAAAATAGACCAAGTGATAACCTTTTACAGTCTCTCATCTTCTCAGTGAGTTCTTCAAGTTGCTTGCTTTGTCTAGTTGAATCCTTCATCTTATCCAACCTCTGGAAACCATTCCTGAAGAAGAGAAAAACAAAGTCAAGATTTTGTTCTCAGAAACAAACAAACAAACAAAAAAGAAAGAGAGAAAAGCGTACGCGAGGGCTCGGAAGTGGTCACGGATTTCGCCATGGATCTGCTCCAATTGAGGACTCATCGGTATACTAGAAGCCATATCGCCGGAGATATTCTGACTTCCGACGATAATCACCGGAGAAACCCTAAAGAGTAGGTAAAACACAGAGAACTAACAAAATCCCCAAAACGTTAAAACCCTAGCTTTTGAGGAAAGCTCGAGTTAGAGAAATCTCCAAAAACGGAAGGAAATTTGAAAAAGTATTTATATAATTAGATAAAAAAAAATCTAGAGAATGTGAAAAAAAGGCGAAAACCCGAAACAGAGAGCGTGGAACAACGGAAAGAGGAAAGAGACGAAGCTTACGTCAGCTATGAAATTGTTAGTATTTCTTTTCTAAAAAGATTTAATTAATTAAAAAATACAGATATGACAGCACAGCGCCAACTTATTTGGGGTCCATATCTATAGGGCTGGACATTTTATCCGTTATATTTGATTCGATTCGTTATTCGTTTCGATTCGATCCGAAAATTCTGGATATCCGTAAACTTTTGAATCAAAGCAAATACTAAAATTCAATATCCGTTAAAATCGAAGCAAATCACAAATAGGAAAATTTTGGGAAACGGATATCCGATCCGATCCGTAAATATATAAATATATGTATATCTTGATTATATTTAACATTTTAAATGTATAAAATTATATAATTATTATTCCAGCATATGATTTTGAACAATTCTATTCAAATTATTACTTATAGAAAAGTATTACATAAAAAGAAAGAAAGAAAATTATGACAATGATATTTTTTTCTTAAATTTTGTGTTGTAACTTAAGTTTAAAAAATTACAAAATATATAAATTCACTAGTTCATTTAAGTTTTATTTTATATATCATGCAAAAAACTATTTTGCAAAGCAAATTTGTATCAAAATCTTAAAGTTATTTGTATTAATCAAAATGGATGAGATATCCGTAAATATTCGTAAATATCCGCAAATATCTATTTATTTTCCGGATATCCGTTTTTCCGGATATCCGTATTTTTTCGAAGCAAAGCAAATACCAAAATTAGATATCCGTAACATTCGAAACAAATCACAAATACCTTAAAAAAACCCGGATATCCGATCCATGCCCACCCCTACATATCTACTCTATTTGTCCGTGGTTTGAATAAATAGTCAACTACTTGCATTACTAAATTATTTCATTTTTTTTCAAAAATAACACATTGTTTGCTACTACTCGTTTAGGAAGGATCAGTAGCAATTAGTATTAAACTCACACTAATCTTCATCGCTAAGATAATCTCATAGACATCAACATTTACTCCAAGTAACACTTCTCCTCTCCCTCGTCACGGGGTTCCATCTTCATCTTCCAAACTCTCCTCCTTCACAAACACAACGTTTTGCTTCCATCTCAATATCCCTCCAGGGTCTGTCTACTACTCCTGTTGTTCAAGGTGGACCCACTGTTAAACCATGTGCACCCGTCAAGACTGTTATAGGGTTTCTCTGTTCCTTGCTGACTCTCGTTGTTTTTAGTGAATTTGCAAATTGAGGGCTTATAGTGTTAGGAAACATTACATAGGAGCCGCTATGCAATGGAAAGCTACATAATTAACCCTCTACGTAGTTAATAACTTAATATTTTGCAAAACCTATTTTGGGAAATGCCTGAACTTTTGCTCCTTCCATTTTCGTGTTGCAAAAACAAATTTATTCTTTGAACAAAAGATAGTCTCCATTATCTCAATTCCAAACCATGACATCAATGCTATAATATTTTCTATTCTAGGATATGTTTTTTTTTGGCTTTTCCCACAAGTTATTGAATATACGTGTTAATCAAACTTAATTCATTATCATGAGAACTCAGTACATGAATCAAAGTCTAATTCCATGAAAAAATCTCCAAGACTAGTACCAAACAACACGAGAACTTGTAATCATCAATCACACAAAGACTTGTAAAGGTTTAAAGAAATATACACATGACTATGAATGAATCATCACTGCGTGCGTCTAATAAGACACCACTATATACAAAAGAAAGCCCTAAACTCAAAAGTCTCCATCTTTAATTCTCTGAGAGGCAAACACGTTAATGGAGAGTGAACAACTAAGAACTGAAAGTAGTCTTTTCTTGAAACCATAGCTAGAAGAGAATCTATTACACAAATCTCTACGTACCGATCATTAATTCTTGTGAGAGAGGTTCTTGATAATCAGCCAGCGGTGACTCACTGTAGCTTCGGCTTCTTAGCTTTTCTCTTCTCCTCAGCTTTTTCTTTCACGTTCTCAAGATACTCCAATGCTTCTTTAGCTTTCTTCTTGGCTTCTTCAGCTTCGATGCTCTTGTTAGCCGCTTCTTCCTTTAACTGAGCCGCCGCGTTCTCCGTACAAGCCACCACGATCTCCGCCGCCGCGACAAGAGCCTTGGCCTTTTGTAAGTCGACGTCGTCGTCGTCGTCGTCGTCATCATCATCATCATTGTCTCCGCTTTGGTCAGAGGTCGTAGCAAGAGACTTGGGGAGGAAGGAGAAGTTAGGGTTCACACATAGAGGGCAAGTGAAGAAATGGTAGGAGAAGGATGAGCGGGAGGAGGAAGGCGAAGGAGGAGAGCAGTGGAGGTGGGCGATGGAAGGGCAGAGGATGCAGATTCTCGTAGCTTCTAGAGGAGGTGGGCCGGCGTAGAGTTCGAGACAAATAGGGCAGAAGAGCTTACGTTGCTCCTTGAGCAAGCAATCGGTGCAGAGTGGGCGGAGAACGTTTTCTTTGATGACTGTGAGGTTGAACTGCGGCTCAAGCTCCTCGCAAGATGCGCATTGGCGTTGACTCGATTCTGGATCCATGGCGTGAGTGAAAGAGAGAGAGAGAGAGAGATGGAAGAAAGCGTTTGTGTTCTCTGAGAAGTTTTCAAGATCTTTTGGGTTTTGAAGAGATGAGAGAACACAACTGTATTCTGTTAGGGGTTGAAAGACTTATATAGGAAACACAGTATGAATCTTGATTCTTGTTAATGGATCTTTTATTTTATGTTAAATGTAAATAATCAAACATACAAACCATTATTTGTACGTCTTTGTATATCTTTAAGAAGATAAGACAAGAACTCTGTTTCTTCATTGCTTAACAACGAGATTCAACAAATGCGAGACTAGATTCCTCTCTATCCATCATTTTCAATTTCATACAACTAAATAGGAAACAAAGACAAGTTTCCATCAGCAAAAAAGCTCTAGCTCCGCGACTCCACTTTCTCAGCTTCTTGTCTTCCACAAACGTTAAAAATAAGGTCAAAATCAAGTTTAGGTTCATCACTCTGCCAGCATAAATGGGTCGACTTCTCCGAGATCTGCGACCAACGGTTCTAATTCTGATGGGTCCTCGTCTTCTGGGGATAAGTACGTTGGAAATGGAAGCTTTGAGACGTCTGGTTTCTTGTAGTGTGCATCTTTTATGAACACAAAGTTTCCTTCTGCACCAGGAACCTGCAACATCAACATAAATACTCACCAATCTTGACCAATCCTAAAGAGTAAGTGGAAGCCAAAGACACCTGCTGGCAGATTGAGATACTTACTTGTCCTCTAACCCAGATGAGGTTCCTAGCAGGATCAATCTTGTAAACCCAAACGTTCTTTACTGTCCTCTGCTCTGCACCCATTCTCCCAGGCATCTTTCTTCCCTTGAACACCTGCTCAACGTGTTCAACAAGTCAAGCTCTTGCTCTGGAGAATATTCACAAGAAATCAATTTAACACATACCTTCCCCGGATCATCTCTTTGACCAGTGGAACCACCTTTCCGATGTGCCTTTGAACAACCATGTGATGCAGGCCCTCCTTTAAACTTCCATCTTTTCATAACTCCCTGCAAATTACATAACAAATAACACATCCATTACCATACACCAGACAATATGGCAAAGAAAAGATCAAAGCTTTAAATCAGTTTTCACCTGGAAACCTTTCCCTCTGGTGATCCCAGTGACATCAACAAACTGCCCAGGCACAAAATGCCTTACACCAAGCTCAGTCCCAACAGGAAGCAAAGCATCTTCCGTAACAGGAAACTCTCTCAACTTCCTCTTCAAATCCACACCTTGACCTCTAAAATGACCCAACTCAGGCATCGTCAAATGCTTAGCCTTCTTATGCCCACACCCAATCTAAAAAAAAACACAACATCACTAAAACCATCATCACTCATCAAGTAGTAGCTTTAACAAAAAGTCACCTGTAACGCAAAGATGCCTTCTTTCTCAACGGTTTTGACCTGAGAGACAATGTTATCATCAACCCAGAGGATGGAAACAGGAACCCTAGCTCCCCATTTATCCCAGAGAGCTGTCATCCCACATTTTACGGCGATGATTCCTGTTCTTTTGGAGATCCCGGACATCTCTACCGGTTTCGCCTCGATGATCCGACTCGGAGCTCCGGTTATTTCGGAGCTGAATCGTTGGGTGAGGAAGAAGTTAGAGTGAGGAAGAGATTGAGAGGATGAAAGGGTTAGAGATCGGATTGGGAAAATTTGAGTGATGCGAGAAAGGAGGCCTCTTGATACGGCGGCCATGGTTTCGAATCGAATCGAAGCAAGAGCTTCAAATGGCGGAAGAAGGAAGTCGGAGGAGGGAGGCTTTAACGGTAGGGTTTTAGATGGGGGGAGTCAACGGTTGCTACTAGTGACGAACCTTCTCACTTAAAGAGAGAGTCTTCAATGTTAGAGAAGAACGACTATCCGTATTATGTAGCAGCTTTGTCGAGACACTAAAGATTGAGATATGGATGACCACACCTGATCCGACCAAAGTTGCGTCGTGGAGCAAGTTCTTATCATTGGAACTAGATGAGAATAATCCTCGAAAACGTCTTTCAAGTGTCACAAGTTTCTTTATCGACGAGGATAAGAAAGCGGCCGTGCTATGCGATCCGAAACGTAGAGATAAGGGTAGGGACATGGTATACATTGTTGGAGAGGACAATCTGTTCAGGAAAATACCCGTAGGAGAATTTAGATTGAATTTTTTGAGTCCAGTTATTTACAGTACTTATGCTCCAAGCTTGGTTCGAATCCAACAGGGTGGAGTAATGACACGAGAACGTAAAAGAAAAAGCCGGCATTAGTGGTTATAAACCACCAGAGAGGATTTTCAGTGTTGAATTATGTTTTGGGTTGATCTTTATATTATACACATCTTCCAATATTTCATTTTTTTTTTTTTTTTTAAATTTAATGTTTTTTTGTGGACTTATCTTTAATTAATGTTTCGGCTTTAACTGTTTACAGTTTTGAATGTTTTAGATATACAAGTCTATGTTTGAGTGTTTCCCGTGTTGGTGTTATATCTCTTAACCGTTGATGTTTTTATCTCTTGAACGTTAAATGCCTTGTCTGTACGTAGGTTTTTTTTTCATTGTTAAGCAGTTTTTGACAATTATGAAACACGAGTTTCTGATGATTGCATTCGTTTATACGTTGCGCCAAAAGAATTCAAGAGCTCCGAAACTAAATGTGTTACACTCGAAGAAGCAAAATATGAAGAGCTCCAAAACTAAATGCCTCGAGGCAAGCCTTCCTTAGGAAGCTTAAGGCACAACCTCACAATTCATCAAATTATATTCAATTATCTATCAAACACAATCTAGGAATCTACACATAAATTTGGAAAGAAATTATGTACATAGGATATATGCTTAACTCTTGTTTTAGGTAGAATTAGTAATATACTCCACGTTGTAAAATAGAAAGACTATAATTTAATGGTGTCTATAGAAGGCACTGACTATAAGGGCAAACGTAAAAATCAAAACCCTAATAACCAGCGACATCTCTGAGACAATGACGCGTTACTTGCAAGCCATGGAACGGTTTATTCAAAGACCAAAACTTCATAATAAGAAGTACTTAGATAAAGCTACAAAACAGTATATGGCATGTTAAGTATTTCAAGGCTTTATTCGATGAGTTTAAATCTCAACGAGATTCACGACAACGTGGTTGATTCACAAACGTTGCTGAGCCTAAACGATTTCCGCATTCCGGAAAAAGTCAAGACCAAAGATATATATATACTAAGTGTTTTGCCCGCACTTGCGGACATAATTCTCTTATAAATATTTATTGGTTGATACTTATGTTTTTAAAAAGTACAAATCAAAAATTAAATAATTATAAATGACAGAACTCAAACATCAGAAATATTTTTAAAAAATATATTTCTGTAGTTATTTTGCTTGATTTATATTTAATTATAATATTTATACGAATATTTTTACTTAATTTATATTTCATTATAATTTTTATATCTTACTCTTAAATTTTATAATAGAAAAACATATTTTGAAGATAACAATATAATGCATAATTTATTTATTTTCTAAAAATATAATATGATAAATTTGTTTTAATTATATAATAATTATATAAAATTATAGAAATAATGATATATAATTAAAATATTTAAAATCATGGACAACTTAACAAATCAGCAAATTCACTTCTTAAATAATTTTGCTTAAGTGATGATTTATATTTAATTAATAATAGATAATTTTCTAATTTAAATATAAATTATATAATATAAAAATATATTTTTGAGATAACAACATAATACATAGAATTACCTTATTTTCTAAAAGTATAATATTATTAGTGTAAATTTATTTTAATTATGGAATAACTACAACTTTATATATCGTAATTTTAAATTTCTAATAGAAAAATATATTTTCAAGACAACAACATAATTTATAAGAAGTATCTTAATTTCTAAAAATCTGATATTACTAATACAATTTTTTATAAATAAAATAAATTAAATATAAAATAATAGAATTATAATAAATTATCAAAGTTACCTAAAATCATGGAAAATATGACGCAAACATCAAATTCACTTCTTAAATAATTGTATAGATTTTTTACATGTTAATTTTAAATTTTATAATAAAAAATATATTTTAAAGATAAGAAAACAATACATAAGAATTAACTTATTTTCTAAAATATCATATTATTAATATAAATTAGTTTTATTTATATAACAAATAAAAAAAATTAAAGTAATTATGATAAATTCTCAAACTTACCTAGGATCATGGAGAAGTTGACAAATCAACAAATTCACTTTTCAAATAATTGTTTTGATGATGCCTATTTAATTATTAATCATATAATTTTTATATCTTAATTTTAAGTTTTATAATAGGAAAATATATTTTCAACATAATAACATAATACATAAAATTATCTTATTTTAGAAAAATATAAATTATTAATATAAACTCGTTTTACTTATATAATATATATATAATAATTTTTATATCTTAATTTAAAATTTAATATTTATATATAAAAATATATTTCAAGATAATAACATAATTCATAAGAATTATCTTATTTTCTAAGTATATGATATATTCATATAAATTCATTTTATTTATAAATAAATTATAGATAAATATTAAAATATGAGAAATAAACAAAATTGCCTAAACTTATGGAGAATATGGCAACTAAGCAAATTTACTTCTTAAAAAATAGTATATATATATATGATCCACAAACGTTGCTGAGCCTAAACGATTTCCGCATTCTGGAAAAAGTCAAGACCAAAAAAAAATATATATATATATATATACTAGATATGGATCCGTTCGGTGCACGGATTTTGTTTGATGTTTTAATTTATATAAAACATAAAAATAATAAATCATTTGTTATAGTTTTAGCATTTCTTTTGCATATTTCTATAAGATTTATCTGAGAATTAGGAACTTTTTTTTCCACATAAATTACGGTTAGTATTTGTACTTAGTATTAGAAAAAAATAATTATATTTAAAAATTTAAACAGAATTCAGTCCGAAATAAAAATTAGAGTGAAATAAAATTTTGAAAGTTAAATAAAGTTAATCAAATCAATGAAAATATCATACACTTTCGTAAGCACTAATTAATTTTTGTATTAACTTATTATTTGTTATTCTTCTCGCTTAAATATATTCTAATCATTCTTGTCGTTTAGTGAAGTTTTTATTGTCATTATAGGGTGTTTGAAACATTTCTGTTATTTATTATTATCTATATATTTTGGTTTGCATAATCTATGAGTTTTAACTGTTCAACCAAAAGAAATTATTTTGGGTTCTTATTTTTATCACGTAATTAAATTATTAATACATGCATTTTATAACCACAAAAAGTTGTGTGCATGTTGAAGACCATAGATGCATTTTGTAGCCACATAATTTATGAATATTAATTGTGTGAATAATTGTTTATAAAAACATAACTTCTTAATAATAGTTTCGGGAAAAAAATCTATATTTTTGTGGTGATAAGTCTTAAAAGTCACAAAACTTATGATTTTGAAGACCATATTTATGAATTTGAATTATGTGAATAATTGTTTATATGAAAATTTAACTTCTTAATTATAGTTTCGTGAGATGTTAAAAAAATATAGTTTCGGGAAAAAGTCTATATTTTTGTGATGATAAATTTTAAATTAAATAAATAAGTAATTTTCTTATATGTTGTAATAAAGCTGAAAAAAACAATTTTGAAGGTAATTAATAGTTCAAATTTAATTTTAAATATTCGACATTCAGTATCATTTATATCATTTGAAAACTTTATATAACCTTATAAACTCAATTCCGCCTCCAAAATATTAAACCTTAAACAATAATCTAAGTGCTATGATATTTTTGGTTGAAGAAATATCTAAATTGGTATTCCGTTTTAGATTTGTAGTTTTTCCTATGTTTGTTCTATTATTATTTTAAATTACTTGCTTCGCATTTTCTAGTAATAATAAATTTGTTTATCCGATTTTAAATAATTTTATTAATTCATTATTTATTAATGATAAATTCTCATAATTAAAAATTTTAATTGTAAATTAGAATATAATTAATATTTAATATTACTATATTATGAATTTTATACAAATATTATCAAGTTATATGTTCATCATCAAGTTATATAATACATGTAATTTTTATAAAAATATGTTTCTCAGCTCTATAGTTAAAAACAAAAGTAACACATAATTTATCTCTAAAAATATAGGAACTCTATTACATAATCATATATTGAAACAAATTCACCTCTGTAATAGAATTTCTCTATTTTAGAACAAAATTTATAGATGAATATATACGTGAATTGGAAATAATCTTAATTATTTAGGTAATAGAAAACATTATAGATCAGCATTTTATCATCTAATTTTGAGGTAATGAAACTATTAATATTTTATGCAATTTTATCCTCCTTTGATTCTTGTAGCCACAAAAATATATGTGCTTGATAAAAATTATGCTTCTGAATATCAATTGTATGAATAACTGTTTATGAAAATAACTTGTATTGGTACATGTTATAACAGATATGAAGAACAAACAATCATTAAGAAGATTTTTTTAAATTTTTTTCAAATATATGATATTCAATATGAGGTATATAATTTGGAGTCTTGTTTCTCGCTTTTAATGATCTCATTGGAGGACCATAATTTTCTGCATAAAATAAATTAATTACATAATTATACATATAACCTTTTTTAATAAAAAATAAAAGAAACTAAATATTTATCTTTACATCAGTTAACAGAAAATTCATTTCTATTTGTTGTTTTTTTCAAATTACCTCATGAGTTATTTAGCTTTTACAATTATCTCCTGTTTAGAATTTCAGATAATTATCAAATAATTATTTTTGGTTAGTATTAAATAATCTTAAAATTACTATTTTTAAAATCCGTATCATTAATATTTTTACAATTTTATCTTTTTAATTAAATAAATATTAATCATGTGTAATAGTAACGGAATTCGTATCACTACTATTTTTACAATAATATTTTTAATTAAATAAATATTAGTTAGTATCATGTTCATCATTAAGTTATTTTTAAAAATATTATTAAATATTTTTTTACATTTCTCTTTTGGCTACAGCCTAAAACATATGATAATATTTTTATTTTTTTAGGATTTTTAGGAAAAGGAAAACTACTATCATATATTATTTACGATTTTTCTTATAGGATTTTAGAAAAGAAAAAATAATATTACATAATCTTTTGCAGTTATACTTTTTCTAGGATTTATAAAAAT